AAGGAGGAAGGGGAATCATGGCGGGGCCCTTGGGGGCTTGTAGTGCGGTTACTGGGCAGGCCGAGAGGACTGGGGCCAGGGCCCTGTCTCAATGAGGAGAAATTCTGTCCCTCTCCGACTTTGAAGTAGTGATGATGGTTAAGGCCTGGCATTTTCTGGGGTTATGCTTTTTTTGGTCATTGAAACATTCACATTGCCATGCTGACCATTTCCCTGCGCGTTAAGTAGGAAAGGAAACAAGACCGAGGGCATTTTATCTCCGCCTTATAAAGGAGGGAAACAAGGCTGAAAGGCCGAACCGCCCAAGGTCAGACAAGGATGCAGCACTGATCTCGAGGGAAAGGGCAGTGGGCTAGTTCTTGAAACCCCCAGGCAAGAAGGGATAGAGAAAGGGGGAGCTGTGTGACTCAGAGAGCTCTGTTTGCCCTCAGTCAGCCGCGGGGGGGGGGGGGGGGAGACTGCGTCAGTAGCGAGTGAACGGGGCTCTGGAGGAATAAGGGAAGTGTGCAAATAGAGCCGGCAGGAAATGAGAAAGGCTGGGGCCATGGGGAGATAAGTAATCTCGGCCGGATCCCTCACCTCCCAAGCTGGTGGCTGACGTTGCTGGAGTACTGACATCACGTTTCCCAGTAACCAAGGGGTTTGGTGGGGGCAGGCGGCTTTCTGGATGTCTGGGCAGGGGAGGGGTGGGGACTGGACAGGAGCAGGAGTGGGGAGGGCAGTGCCAGACAAGAGCTGGGGAATTCTTGGGTTCTGTGGAGTTGCTCAGGAGTGGAAAGAAGCCCTCCCCGTCCCCATCAGCAGGCTCTTTTTTCCTCCTTGCTGCTTCAGCTACTACCTGTTTGCATTAACCGAAACAATGCAATGCCGGTATATTATTATCTTAGTGACTTTGTAACAGGCCTCAGTTCAAAGGTCACCTCCTTCACCAAGTCCTTCCAACAGGGAGTCAGCCAAGCATGGCAGCGGTGAAGTGTCAGAGAGACCTGGGCTTAAAGCCTACCCCTGTCACGTCCCAGTTTGGTGCCCTCGGGCAAGTTATTTAACCTTACTTGTAAAATGGCAGTAGTAACGTCTACTTTGTCAGACTGTTTAATGAAACTTTGAGTAAGAGAATGTATAGAGAGCAACTGGTCTCAGTCAATGTTCAGTCTTCTGCCCTTGCTCCGACCACCTCCCGTGGTTTATCTGGGTGTCCTAAGCAAACACGCTCTCTGCAGCCTCCTCTGATGCCTCAGTTTGACAGGCATTTTTGGGCACAGAAGTAGCAGGCACTGCTCAGGCTCTGGGGTTCTGGCACATTCAGCTCCGGCCTGCCACGGCTACAGGCTGTGGGCAGTCAGCAGCGCGTAGGTGCCAGGACCTTTCTTGCCTTCTTTCCCTGTAGACTATTTCCTTCTTGAGGGTAGGGTCAGATCCATTTTTTGGACCTCTTCCGCTGTGGTGACCATATTATTGCCTGAATTAAAATTAAGGAAAGGTGGATTGTCGAGTACGAATATTTTTATGGAAACAATGGAACAAAGTATTTGAAATCTGTGCTGACTCGGCAAATTCAGGAATAAGTTTGCTCTTCTTACAGCACATAGCAAACTCCTTGGACACAATGGTTATAAGGTGTGTTGTGTGACTAACAAATGAATGCTTATGCAGCTATGATTTCGGTGACCCCCCCAAATTCCCTAAGGTCAGAGCATCTGAATTCCTACCATTAAAGTGACTGACAGGGTTAAGACAGGGTAAAGGCCCGGGTTAAACATAAATGCTTGTTGTTCTGGAGGAGACCCACATTTGCCCATTGACCAGGTTAAAGAGATCCGCACGTGTCACTTATGGGTGGAGGGGGACTGCTGGTGATGGATAGGACCAAGTGTCTCCACGGAGCGAGGGGGTTTTGGGAGGGCTGGACTTGCTGGAATGGGGCAACATGGAGAATACGCTGGTAGCCCATGGAAAGGAAAAGTGTGTATGTTGGGGAAGAAGGGGTTCAGAAGGGTAGATTTGAGACCTGGAGAGCAGCCTCTTGCATAAAACTGGCCTCTGCCCGGTTTTGCCCTCACTCTCTGGGGACAACCTTGGGCTGAGAGATTGAGGAATGCTTTGAGATTAGGTTCAACCCTCTTTTTTTTTTTTTTTTTCATTTCTCAAAAAGTGCTAAATAGGTTAAGTGAGTTGCCCAAGGACACACAGCTCTTTAGTGGCTGCTGACCTAGAACTTAGAGCCGAGTATCTGTGCCCCCATGACTGGCGCGCCTCCAGCCTCAGTCTAGAAAAATGCCAGCAACATATGAGGCGTGTTGGGGCCAGGCCGGGACTGGGAGTGGAGGCATCTTGTCTGCCTGTGTCCTCACGTGTCCCAGATGGTGGGGGATGATGTCTTAATACCGCCCCCCCCCCCCCGCCCATGTCTGTCAGACGTGCTGGCTCTGGAGTAATCCCGTGCTGGCTCTGGAGTAATGCCGCCCCAGGACAGGCAGCTGGGAGGGCTGCCCACAGAGGAGGCACTCCAAGCAAGGACTGGGTCTAATCCCATCAACTTCCTCCAGCAATTAACCCAAATCACCAGCGGACATGTCCCTACCGTACCTGCTTCCTCCTTTGTCCTCACTCTACAGCCTTCCTTGTCCTCCGACTAGACAAGGGCCTCTTCTCATTCAGCTCCATGCAGCTGAGGGGACCCTGCCTCACGTCCGAGTTCCTCCTGTCAAACCCCTTGGATCTGGCTGGCTGCTTTCCTAAGTCCCCCTGGCATCTCTCCACAGGCTCAGCCCATCGTTTCCTTTCCCATTCGGTACCAGCTGTCCCAGCGCCAGAAGCCTTGGCTGATCAGACCTCGGAGAACCACTCTGCCTTTGCCTCCCTCCTCTCAGCTAAGTGCTGTCTGTCATCTGCCTTCCCACCTGGGCAGTGGTGAAGTTCTTCCTAGCTAGTCTGCAGGCTCTCAGTGCAGGGCACCGAGCAGGAACTCAGTGAACACTTGGCGACTTCACTGAAGAAATGAGAAAGTTTGTGGTTCAAAATGAGAGGTAGTTAAAAACCAACCCTTCCCCTCCCCCTCCCACCGACAATGCGAGATAGTTGTTTGAGTGTGCTGGCCCTAGGTCCCTGCGACAGAGCATGGGCCTTTGGGAATGCCATCCTGGAAGGAACCTGGCAACCGAAGACCTCCTGAAGAAGACAGGAAATGCCTGGGGACTCTGTCTCAGAAGATCATTGAGTTGTTACCACCACCACCTTCATTTCCATTTAAAATTTTATTACATCAAAAGAAAAAAAAAAAAACCCTCCACAAAATAAACTCTAACCCTAAACCAACTCAGAGACAGAAGATTATTATCCAGGTATAACTAATGCCCTCCCCACCCCAAACAGCCTTACATTAAAAAATCCAAAAGAAGTAGAAACGCCAGCTTCAAAAATATTTATCCAAAAAGTAAGGCATTCACTTTACGAAACAAATGAACAAACAAATAAACCCCAACAATTGAAGGAGGGATGGAGTTTGGAGGCATGAGAAGAGGGAAGAGGAGGAGGGTCCCCTGACCCTCCAGGGGCCAGCCCCAGCCCACCTGGGGTCTACTTTGAAGGGACCGGAACTCAAACCAAACCTGACAACTCCCCAGTAGGGGTGAGGGGTGGGGTTGGGGTCAGGCAGGCCAGCTGGGAAGCTGGGAGAGCCAAGCAAGCCGGGAGGACTCCCAACAGGTTCTAGTCTAAACAGATGGGAGGGGGAGGTAGGAAAGGGGGCACTTCTGCTTTGGCATGAAAGGATCCTAGTCTTTAGCACAGAAAGTGTGGCAGGGAGGCTGCAAGGCCCAGCGTAAACACGGTGGCCTCCCCTCGGAGCGAAGGGAAAGGAAGCCTCTGCCCACAGGATGGCCAGAAGTCCACATGCCACAGAGAACGGCTCCCCAGAATGGGTACCTTCTGCCACTGCTTTTTCATCCTGTCCTGGAGGCTGTCCAAAGACAGGGCAGTGGTGGGACCAGAAAGGGGGGTGTCTGAGTTGGGGGAGGAGGAAGGAACTGGCCTTCAGAAAACAGTCTCGCCCCAAACAGTCTCTGAGGTTACGGGATGGACACTTCTGGGGGGTGGGTGGGAAAACACCCTCCATTCCAGGAAGGCTTTTCATACCAGGTCTGTCCTGAGGGTTAGAAATCAGGGAGTATTTTTAGGTCCAGTTCTTGGATGGGAGGTGACTTAAGGCTGATTTGGCTTGGGTTTCGGGCCTGAAGGGCTTGGGGAGCCTTCACACCGGTTGGTCCCGGAGCCAAGCCAGAGAAGAGGAAAAGGGCATGATGGGGGTGCCAGCCGTGCTGGCTCCATGGGGGTCCGTTGGAGGCATAGCTGCAGGGATCATGGAGTGACTGCTCCTTCTTGTTCGAGTGGGGAAGGAGGAGGAGCTAAGTAGCTTTGCCACAAGGAGAGAAATGTCCACTACATTGAAAATAAGAAGACTTTCTGGCTTCAGGAAAGCTTTGGCACTGAGTGGGGGTCAGGATGCAGGATACCGGGGCAGGGCTGGATTTCTACAATTTGAGCCTTTCCCAATCTGTTCCACAGGACTGGCTTGGGTTAGGGGGAGGGGGCAGTTCTCCTTCTCATTGGTCCTTAGCTCAATAGGGAGGTGGTGTCCTGCCAGGAACCTTGCTCTGGACAGGGAGCCCAAGCTGAGGTGGGGGGAGGTACCATGGGGAGGGGGAGAAGAGAGGGCAGAGGGAAGCATCTCTCTGATTTCTTGGGTCCCTAGTGAAGGGAGGGTGATGCGGGTCTCTCCAGCTGACTTTAAAGACGACAGATTTGCTTGAGTCTGTCCCTCCCCAACTGACTCACTGTTGCTTCCGCTTCTCTGAGCAGAGGCCTCCCTTGGGCTCAGGAATGGGGAGGGAAGGCAGTACTGAACTGGGCTCCTGAGGAGGCAAGTGAGGGGGTGGAGGGCCCTATAGAGTACCCCCAGCAGCTCCACTCTCCTCCCACTGCTTGGAGCAGCCCTGGTGAGAACACCGGCCCTGGTGGTGAAAGGCTGGTTCTTTGGGTACAAATGTCAGTGTCTTTGTTTATAGTTTCTTACCACCCACACCCAGGTCCTGCCCCTGCTTGACAGAAGCAGAGGTGTGTGTGTGCGTGTGCGTGTGTGTGTGTGTGTGTTGGGGGGACCCAGGCAGGGAAGGAGGGCAAAAAGAGGGTGTAGGAAGAAGGAGCCAGCTGGATGGTGGTCCTCAGGGCTGGGGCTGCTCCGAGTCCTTGTCCTTGGAGGCAGTGGGTTGGTAGATGGGCTGCCGCTGCTCCTCTGTGTCCCCATTTATCTCCTCTTTCCCCAAGCCTGCTTCCATCTTGGGGTACACTACCACACACATCTTCTGGCTCACCAGGGTTAGCGACTCTATGGGAGGTCACACAGAACAGGTCAGTGACGAGCGTCCCACCAAGGCCAAGCCAGCTGTGACCCTGCTCTGCTCCCCTGCCCCATGTGTTACCTCAGCAGGGCCCCAGTGCCTTCAGGAGGCTCCTGTTCCAGGAGACAGTCACCTTGCCTCTTCCTGGGGCTCTGGGGAGCCTGTCTGCTGGCTGCCCATTCCCATCAAAGCCCTAGTCCCCCACCTGCTGGTGACCCAAGCCTGGTGACCACCAGTTCCAGGCTCTCCCTTGGCCTCTACCCAAGGCATCCCTTGCAGAATGGCTGTCAGGTTGCGTATTTTTCCGGGTCTAGGGTCTGTGTGCAGACCTCAGCTGTTCTCCTCTCCTCAGAGGTCTCTAGGAAGGCACCCACCCTTTCTTGCCCTGTCTTCTTCTCCAGAGCTCTGTGGGCCAGCCTAGGCCTCCTGACCCAGAGACTACCTAACCCAGATGAGTAGATCCTCTAGCCACCCAGCATTTTTAACAACTCACCAATGAAGTTATTGAAACACTTGGGCTTGTGTTGCCAGTAAACACCAAGGAAATAGACGGGCACTCCTGTCAGCATGATGGCCAGGCCAATGCCACACACCACGGGCTCCGACCACAGGCTAAAGATCAGCAGGAAGGCCCAGAACAGCAAGTAGATGATGGGGAACAGCAGGTTGATCTGTGGAGCAGAGGTGCTGTTAGCTGTGTGGCCCCCGTGGCCCCCAGATCAGGGCATCCTCCCTATTCTCAACCCACAGAGAGGCAACTTTGAGGGCAAAGGCTAGGCTTCACTCAGCTCTGTGGCTCCCCCGCCCCAAGCCCTCATAGATCAAGTGCTATGTCAACAAACGTTGGTGAACTTGGGTAGTGGGATGGGAAGAGGAGGGGCGAACTCTGAGTTCTGAGGAATGATCCTCATTGCCCATCTCTTTTCTCCTGGGCAGAGGCAAACAAGGCCTTGTCATCCATACCTCAGCCAGGGAAGCCCGTGGGACTAAGCTTGCTGGTACATTGGTATATATTTGCCAAGGTCCTAGAGTGGAGGAGAGGTGGAGAAATGAATGAGGGGCAAGAAGGAAATGGCCTGGGTCTGTCAGACTCCTTGACTCTTTCCCGGTTCTAGGTAGGGCCCTCATATGGGCACCACGTGGCAAATGTCCATCCTTCTTGCCAGGATCAGTCTCAATGTGTTTTTCTCAAGCAATATGAGAAGGTAAGTCTGCCAAGATCCGAGAAGTCAGGAAACCTACCATACTATAAGGCAGTCTGGGACCTTGATTTTATTCAGAAATAAACATCAGCTCCATGGGCTTGTTGGCCATCTTGTTGGCCACAGGTGGGAGTTCCCAGATTCAGCTGCCTTTCTCTTCCTTGTCATCTCTTCTCAGAGGGTATGCAAGGGTTGGGGGAGGAATGGGTTATTCTACCTTGTCATCCCTCTAGCAAGCTTTCTAAGAGTGGTAGAAAAGTGGTGGTGGAAAACAGATTTGGAGAGCTGAAATTCCTCAGCTGGAAGAAGAATCTTCTGGAAGGATCTAGTCTCCTCTGTTTCCAGAATAGGATTGCTCATATAGCTCAGGGCTATACTCTATTCTAATTTGCAGGAGAACCCATAGTTCTCTTGCATATTTTGTTCTGAGCAATCCCGTTCATTCCCACCACACAGTTATCTCTTGCAGCAATCAGTAGGTTCACTAGGCACCCTACTACATATAAAGCTCTAGTGGTTTAAAAAGGGAGGCTCATGGAGGATTGTAGTGGACAGGGAAGCTTCAAGGAAGAGGAGGAACTTGAGGCCTATGTGGGGAATGGTTATAATTTGGATAGGCAGATGGGAGAAGGAAACTCATTTTGGGATGGCGACATAGCTCAAGTGAACTCAGCTACCTGGAGGGATGAGGAGGAGACTGGCCATACCAGTGGGTTCAGGGAAATGTTGGAGAGGTAAGGGAGCCTTGAACAATGAACCAGAGTTCATAAGAGTCATAGGAAACAAAGGAATGATCTGATGAAAGTATCATTTAATATAACTTACTCTTACAGCTGCCATTTGTTCTGGTCCTGTCTCCAGTGGAAAATGGAAATAGCTGCCCCATTCATACATGGCCCTTGCTTTCCAAAGGGTCTGCTACCATCATAGAGATGGTAGATCATGTATGTGGTCAGCAGCTGAGAACAAGGTGATTTAAAAATCTGAGCTGCTGCTAGATTAGAAGAGGAGGGGGAAGGGATCTCAAGGGTTCTCGCACCTTGATAGGGCGGGGGATATCAGGCTTCTTCCAGCGAAGAACTATTTGTCCAGCAATTGTGACTCCATAGAAGAGGTAGTTGATGAAGCCCACATAGTTGATGAGTGTGTACATGTCGCTGGTGACCAGCATCAGCAGGGTTGAGATACACTGTGAGAAATGGGAGAAACTCATCAGTGATCAGTAAGATATTTGGAGACCAGAGGAGCTGTTTACAGGTCAGGGGACTCTTCCCCTGCCTCTAGGCGGATGGCGCCATTTTACAATGAATGTCTTAAAATGGAGACTTTACAGCCTCCCCTAGTCATCCTGGCCATTGCTAACAGCTTCATTGCCAGGAAGTTCTTTCTCATTGCAGGAGTGATAATCAAAATATTTAACCACTGGTAGGGCATGGGCACTAACCAATCAGAATAGATACTGGCTGTAAACAACTGGATTGGCCACACCGGCTGTGCCAGCTCTATATCTGCCCTGGTCTCATTTATATTTCTTCCCTGGTTGTAGTTCAAGCTAATTTAGGTGTTTCCTTTTTTTTTTTAATCCCTTAGGGAAGATTGTTAACTGCACATTAAAGCTTTATTCTTGCCCTCATCCTCTTCTCCTCGCTGAGTCATCTTAATTTATTTTTCTTCTTCCCCCCACCTCCCCCCCTTTTAAATATCATAAACAGTTATAAAGCATTTACTAGGTGGAAAGTCCTGTTCTTAGTGTTCTACAAATATTAACTCATTTAACTCTCATAACATCCCCATGAGGTTTTCTTGATAGAATCCACTTTACAACTTCAAAATCAGCTCAGTGTCTCTCTTGGAACCATGTTCTGCCCCTCTGCTAATTTGTTAAGGCCAACAGAAGGTTCAGTTCTTAGAACACCTGGGTGGCTCAGTTGGTTGAGCATCTGCCTTCGGCTCGGGTCCTGATCCCAGGCTCCTGGGATCGAGTCCCACATCGGGCTCCACATCGGGCTCTCTGCACAGCAGGGAGCCTGCTTCTCCCTCTCCCTCTGCTATTCCCCCTGCTTACGTTCTCTCTCTATCAAATAAATAAATAAAATCTTAAATAAAAAAAGAAGAAGGTTCAGTTCTCGTGTAAGATCTGACGGTGAAAATAATATAGAAGATTTTAATGGATGAATAAGCCAGATTCTGACCGTACTTGCCTTGCAGTCACAGTACTGCACCAATGGCTCAAACTGGAAATAAGTCTGTGTCTCACTGGGAGTACTAGGTGGTCTCCAGGCACCTTTCACAGCTAACCAATCATGATGGACTTCATCCTATATCTGAACATTCTGAAACTCCCCCTCATGTTGTACAGTGAAGGCACTTGACTCCTGAGAGCTCTATTATCCTGATCTAACTCCTTCTCTGACGGACCAAAGTCATTTTCAATATTTTATTCAGGATCCAGAAAGGAAAAAAACATAACTCAAAAGACTCAGTGGGGACAAGTCTTTGCTCTTTCTTTTTACCCCTCTAAATGATTCTACTCTGGGCCATTCTACCCTCATTTCTTCCCTGTCCCAATTTTCCTTTTCTCCATTTTCAGTTGCCAGTCTTCCTTTCTTCATGGTTTGTCTTATCTGGTGTACCTGTAACACTGAATTTGTTTCAGTGGTATTTCCTGAGAGACAGGCAGAGTCTCCTGGGGCAAGAAGACTGATGGAGAGTGCTGAGGGTGTGTGAGATTGGCCGGGAGTGGGGTCTGAAAGCTGCAACCCTTAGGGCAACAGGTGCAGGGGAGAGCCAAGAAAGGAGGTTTCTTTCTGTATGAGACTGTAGAGTCGTGAGACAGTCACTTCAATCTGACCCAAAAGTATGGGAGAATAGAAATGAGGCAGGGTGAGAGCCTGAAGGTGTTTCAGGACTCAGAGTCTTTCTTTGTTATTTCTCTTGATATTTACAAAGCCCATGTATACCATTTGCCAGATTATCTAAGATCCAGTGAAACCTAGGAGCAGACCAGGAGGGTGACAGGGCTGTGTGTGGGAAGTGCGAACTCCCAGCTCAGAGCAATTGCAAAGAGGGAGGGTGTGTGTAGGGCTGGCAGAAGGAGGGGCCCTTACTGTGAAGAGCAAGGCTGGGATTGGGGTGCAGCGCTTCACGTGGATCATGGCCAACACGCTGGGAAGGTGGCCTTCCCTGGCTCCAGCAAAGAACAGCCTGGTAGAGAGAAAAGCAGGTAAGCCTGGGATGGCCCACAGACCACCCAAGGAAGTTCCCTCCCCAGCCCAGTCTTCCTCATCCATGCCCACCTTCTGCTCACACAGGAGTATCCCCCCACCCCAACCAGGTACCCACCTTCCCATGCACACTCCAGCCCACTTGTCACAGGACCCACGTTCACAAGTGCAGGTGCAGGCAGACCAGAGGCAGTCAGTGGATAATGGATAGATTCTGGGTGCATAGAGACCCTAAGTATGGTCTGGGTGGCTTGGAGTTACTGATGATTGTGCCTTAACTTTGTGGGTCTCACAAAGCCTTAATCCCTTTAAAAATGGGCCTCTCCCTTCCTCAAGGGATACAGGTTCTCTGATACATGAGGACTGAACTGTCTGTCCATGGAAAGCCTTATAAAAACACTGATATCTGGGGCGCCTGGGTGGTTCAGATGGTTAAGCGTCTGCCTTCGGCTCGGGTCATGATCCCGGGGTCCTGGGATTGAGCCCCATGTCTGGCTCCTGGCTCAGCGGGGAGCCTGCTTCTCCCTCTGCCTCTCCCCCTGCTCGTGCTCTCTCTCTATCTCTGTGTCTCAAATGAATAAGTAAAATCTTTAAAAAACAAAACAAAAAAACATTGATATCCTAGTCAGGAGGTAGTTGCCACCGTGGGGATGGAGAATAGGTGGTGGACCAGAAAGGGACACGGGATAAATTGGGGGATATGTGGGAATGTTCTATATCTTGTTTTGGGTGGTGCTTCCATCGCTGTCTACAACTCTCAAAACTCATTAAGCTGAACAATCTGTTTATTTTATTGTATTGTATGCATTACATTGTATCATACCTAAAAATTTATATCCTTAAGCTACTTTTTCTATTCCCAAAGAAGCCATCCTAAGGAAATGAATAGTGAGTTAGTGAGAGGTATATATAAAAGATATTCTGATGATAAAAAAGATTGGAAATACTCTAAATGCCCCAAAGTAAGAGATTGATAACATAAATTATAGTATATCTGTAAGATGGGATATTTAACAGTCCTAATGTTTTGAAAAAAATTCGTTACATGAGACCACGCTCACAATACAATGTCAAATGGTAAGAGCAAGACAGAAAACTGTATGATTCCATACAGTATAATTCTAATTAATTTAGAAATTATGGTCATGTAAAAACATACCAACTGATTATCTCTGGGTGATGGGATTATGAGTAATTTTAATTTTCTTCCTTAGACTTCATTAAAAAATTTAATTTCTAAAATAGATGAGAAATTTTAATTGGAATAAAAATTATTTTTTTTACCCTTTTTAAAAATTAAACCTTTTTTTGGAGATAATTGTAGACTCACATGCAGCTGGAAAAAATAATACAGAGAGATCCTAGGTACCCACTCTATTTCTACTGGTAACATACTGCCAAACTATAGTGTAATATCATGACCAGGATATTGATGTTTACAAGTTATTTTTAAAAAGAGAAATTTTAACATAAAAGGGACTCCTTCTTCCCCTTCTCTTTTCCCCGAGAAAAGAATATTATAAGCCACTGGAAGTCATTTACATATTAGTATGAATTAGACAGCTTTTTCTTTTCTCTAGGATTTTATAAGGAGAAGGAAGCACCTAAGGGGTAGGAGGAAGGGGGTGGTATAATGGGGACAGGAAGACACAGAATCAGCACGCTGGGTGTTCTGAAAAAAAAACCAAAACTGTCACTTACTTTGTAATTTGTGTGTGAGGGAGAGTGGAACTAACAGCAGCAGTTTGGCAGAAGTGTGGGAGTCGGCCCCAAGTACCCATGTGCATCACCGTCACTTGCCATCATCAACTACCTAGGCCACTGTCACTAGTTTCATGCACCTACACAGCATGACCCCTCTACGGTGCGGCCTCATGCACCCAACTGAGCCCTGCGTGCTCTGCGGGCCTCATCATGCACATAGCCAGGGCTCCGCATTCACGTCCCTCCTCCACATGCAGCCAGGACCAAGTGCAACTTCCAGGTCCAATAGCATTTGCAAGTGTCGAGTTCACAAGAGACAATCCTTGCCCGGCTAGCTGACAATGGAGGAGACAATGACATTAAGCATGACACACGCCCACACACACTCCTATTTCTCAGGAAGGGTCAACCTCTCCATACACCAAACACAAAAGAGTAAGAGAGAGAAGGAGAGAAGGAGGGAAGGAGGAGGAAGGAACGAAGGAACTGGGAAGATGAGCAGAGGAGGCCTGGCGGGTGGGCTGTGCCTCGGAATCCGCGGCCTCGCACGCCAGGGCGCCGTGTCCTGCATGCACACACAGCTATACCACATGCATGCAGACCGCTGCTTGGCCTGCCCGAGGGACAAACCCCACTCTAAAGCGACTGTAGCCAGTCACTCTCTTCCAATAGATCCCAGAGAGCCTCATGGGTCACTGCTCTTCCACTGCTCGCCCTCGGCTGGGGACTCCGGGTGGTCACTGCTCCTGTGTTAACACGCACACGAGGTTGCTGTGGGTGAGTCTCAGTCTCATAGGGTCCTGGGGCACAGAGGACACCCACACTCCCTCTTTCCTGCCCGGGGTCCTGAAAACATGGCACTCCCTTGACATTTCATGAGAACGCCTCCCTGATGTGATTGGTGGCTTTGGAAGCAGCTAAACTCAGGGACTCCCTCCTTTTGCTGTATCTTTCAAGAATGGCTATGCCCTGGGCGCAGGGGAACCGTCTAAGAAATATGGGAAGACCCCTTGAAAAACACTGATGGTAACAGTCCAGTGTCTGTTGGCCTCAGCAGCCTATTTTGGAGGGAGCGAGAAGAGACGCTGAGGAGGGGCCAGATTCCTGGGGGTGTAGAGACAAGAGGTAGGGATTCCTGGACCCACTTGAGCTTCTCTGAAAGTTTGGAAGTTGGGGGCCTGGATTTGGACAAATGCTTTCCTTCAGTTCTTCCCCACTTCTCTCACTTCATACCCTCAGCCCGAGTCTCCTGAGTGGCCATGAAAGTGCCTCCCACAGCCACCTGTCTGTTGAGCAGGGAGAAGCATCCATCCCATCTGCAGGCTGGTCCCAGAACTTCCATGATAGGCCAGCCCAGAGGCCCCAGGCCTGCGTCCCTCCTGGTCCCTTGTAGAGTGGGGTTCCTTTCAAGCCAGCATAGCCTGTTTCCAGGCAAGTAGCAAAGGAGCTCTGGGGCTGCCGATGAGACACTGTCCTGCTGCCGATCACGGTGCCCAGACCTAGGACTGCATCAGGCAGCCTGGGACCTCCTCAGCCCTCTGCTCCTACTGAAATGAGGTGGGACAGGGCTTCTCTCACCACTACATGTGAAGCCACACATATCGCAGGTAACCACGTGAGCAGCATACACCCCTCTGCATCCAAGCTGACACACAAATGCCCTTTCGTGAGCAATCACCCCCTACGAGGTCACCACCCAGGTACCCACACAGACTTCTGCTGACGGAGACAAGCCCCCGCATATATACACAGAGCAATGTGCGCAGCAGAATGGCCCCGGGCCCAGGAAGGACTGGGACAACGCTCACCGGGAAGAGGTGAAGAGAGACCCATTAACTCCTCCAAATGTGGACAGGGCCACGGAAATGGGCATGATCCAGGCCATGACTCCTAGGAGCTTCTCTCCGAATGTCTGGGAGAGAAAACAAGGGGATGAGCAGAAGAGGCAAGGTTACAACCCTCCACTTGTACATCACTGCTGGGAATGCTCCCTCCCATCTCTACCCTTGCTGAGTCTCTCCTATTACGGTCCTCGCGGGGAGGGTTGTGTTCCCCAGGCCCTCCTGCACCGCACTGCCACTTCCCTTCCCACTACACAGTGGGGATTTAGTAAGTGTTTTGGGCTATTAACTGAAGGAGACAGTGCATGGTGGTAATAATAATAACAACAACAACAATGACGATGATGTGCTAACATTTGTTCTCCTTGTTTTATGGATGAGGAAACTAAGGCACAAAGCAATTAGGTAGCTTGCCTAAGATCACAAACCCAGAGAGTGGAGGGCCAGGACCAGAAGCCAGCTGGGGGAATCCAGGCCTCACTTACATTATACACTAATGAGTCAGGCAGCTTGGGGTTCAAATCTTAACCCAACAGTTTGGACCTGTGAGACGTTGAGCAAGGTCCTTAATTTTTGAGCCTCAGTTTTCCTATCTGTAAAATAGAAATGGTTCCTAATTCATAGGGTGGAATTTCTAAATTCATAGAAATAATATGATAAGAAGGGAAAAATGATAAGAACAAGCCACTACGCAGGCTGAGAAAAAAGAGGTGGTGAAGCTATAGACTAGTCTTCCTATACTGAAGGAATGTAGAATGTCAAGGGACTAGCCTTTTCTATATTCTCTGAGCCAAGTATACACTCGATTTCTAGTACATTATGGGGGAGGGGTCGTTTAGAATGGATGTCCTGCTGGGTTAGGCCAGTGGTCATGGAAAAAGGCTGCCCCAGGACACTGGAGGACCTCTTTCTTTACAGTCTTCTGACAGGAGACATGGGATGACAGTTTGGCAGGGTGATGTCAGGGCCCAGGTGAAGCCAGGTAAGGGGGCTGCATGGCTCCCAGGGCTTTCCTGGGTATCAAAGACCCCAGTGCCTTGGATCTGCATGATCTCTTTCCCCAAAGAGCACAGACCATTCCTACTCCTGTTTACTGGCACACACTTTTCCCTGATGAGGGAAGGAGTCAGGCTGCATGATTTCCAGAGGAAGAAACGAAGGCAGAGAGGAATGGCGTTGTCTCGTGCAAGATTATATCTTTCTGAGGAGGAGCCTGCCTCCTTTATACAATCATCACATTTAGAGTTTAAAGTGCCCCAGATCAGGGGCAAACTTTTTCTGTAAAGGGTCATACAGTAAGTAATGTAGCTTTGTGGGCAACATGTTGGTTCTGCCGTTGTCACCGTTCTAGGTACAACATGGCCGTCAGTTCGCTCCTGGGCACTTGGAGATACGGTTTCTGCCCTGAGAACTTGGGATAACTTCCAATTCCACAAATTCATGGATCAGGGAAAAGTGAGTGGGGCCAATCTGGCAAGTCTATGTCAACATTCCTGGTTTGAAGGGCTGTGAGTTTGATTTCTTACCACAGCGACTGCGTTTGAAGCCAGCAGCTCCTGGGGGGACATTGCAGTGACATAAGCGACATTGGCAAAGACATACACAAATGTGACCAGTGGGATGGAGATGAAGATGGCTCTGGGAAGGTTCCTGTAGAAGGAGAGGAGGTCAGAGGGGAAAGGCCTGGCACCTGCCTTGTCACGGGGTTTGGGAAGTGCCTTGTCTTTCTGCTCCAAACTGACCTGGCAGCCTTTTGTGACACTCCCTCTCCCTGGGGGGTGGATTCTGTCTCAAAATGGGCAGGGCAATTTAAAGGAAATGAAACAGGGTAGGCTGGGAATATGGTCCATACCTGCTGACCTCTTCCTGACTGGAATCTCCACGATGCACCCCTCTCCCCTGCTTCAAGACACAAAGACCCTCCTGTCCTAAGACAGGTAAGTAAGATGCCTAGAGGCCTGTCGGGAACATTTCATCCTCTAAGGCAGTGGTGCTATCTCAGCACTGTTTCAGCTTTTAATCTGCTCTGGGACAGTCACGGGATCATTTTTCTCCTCCTGGCAGGGTGGATGGCAAATGGTTTAAGTTCCTGAGAAATAACTGTTTCTTCAGGATAGACTAGGTCATGGTCAGAACAGGGGCTGGAGATGGAGAAGTGCCCAGTGGACACCTGGCTCTCTCTTCTTAGTAGCAGGTGCCGTGGCCTTTCAAGGGATTTGGGAAGGGCTGGGTCATTTCAACTCACTTGTAGGGATCAACAAGTTCCTCAGTCACGTAATTAAGAAAGTTCCAGCCTCCGTAGGCAAAGGAGCCCTGAAGGAAAGCCAGTGCGATAAGGCCGATGTCGGGTTCTTGGAAATTCTCAAATGCGTTCTTTGGTTCCAGCCAGAAATACTCTCCTGTGGACGCAAGGGGCAGGAGGCTGCTCAGAGAAAGGAGCCAGAGGCCTGGCGGCCTCTAGCCTGCCTAGTCCTGTCTCAGCTCCTCCTGCAGTGATGATCTAGCTCTTTTGTTTCCAGTGAACCCGACACATTGGACAAGTGGGACCAAAAAGAGCACGGAAATAGAGATTAGGACTTCCCCAGAACCCCGGAACCAGGAGTCCCAATGCAGGCTCAGGTTCAAAGCACAGCTCTCAATGTTCTCTTAAAAGGCAAATTTACTTGGAAGGAAAGGCCAGGGGAGGCCACTGGTCAGGGAAGGGTAGAGTAAATCAGGGGTGGTGCGCGGGGGTGGGGGGAGCTGGGATTTGGAGATGCAGGATCAGGGCCATTGGCAGTCTCTTGACCACCTTCCTGTATGTCTAAGTTTATACATTTTCACAAAGAAAGCATGCACAACAACAAACACTCAAACATAAGCTCCTATAATGCCATCGTAGTTCATGCTTGCTCTGCTTTCTTTGTCAATAACCTCCTGTCTCTTTCTAAGGTCTCTGGGCTCTCTCTTCATGGTATAGATTCCCTGAGGACAGGGTCCTTCAGCAAAGAGCTTTTCCACTGCCTTCCCAACCTTTAGCACAGTGTCCTGCACACAAGTGGGCCCTCAAGAAAGGCTGCTGATGACGTTGTAATGAAACAGAGTAACTGCCTATATTTTACTTAGTCATCTGTGATCCAGCATTGGGACAGGAAATAAGGAGATTAGAGTGATCAGGAGAAAGCATTAGGGCCGGAATAGTAGGGACTTATTATTTCTGAAAAGATAGCACAGTGGTTTCTTTCTCTCCTTTTTTTTAGGGGAAAGCATGAACACAGTCCCCACTACCACAAATTATATAGTCCCATTTCTCATATTTGGGGAAATTGTAGGGGTCAACACATCCATAGTGCAATGGATAAGCCTCGTCCTTAGAAAAGCACTTTCATGATCATGGTATCTCCCCTACCAAGGAGGTGTACACAGTTATTTCTTTAAGTCTACACAATATTACCTGCTAAAGAACTTAACACAACTGGTTAAAATTAACAGCAGAACCTTAATTCTGTTTCCTGGAGTAAATATCCAGGCACCCCACATGGCCTTCAGGGCTTCTATAGGCAGATAGGAGGTCTCTCTGTTTGTCATCTGACTTTCTCCAGGAGGCAGTGACACTGGGCAGAGCCTAGTGGTGCCATGGTTCCCATGGAAACCAAATACAGACTCAGACTTGGAAGGGACCAAATCCAGTGGGGAATGTTGGCAGGGGCCCTAGGAATGTCGAGCTCTCTCATAGAGATTATGAGTAATTTTGAAATGCGTAAAAATCCCCTCTGTTCCCATTTTAAGATATGGACAACATACAATATAAGATGCAGGGAACTTCCTGCATGGGGTAAGAGGGCAACAGGAGTCCAGAGATCTGGGGGCTTCACCTAGCTGTGCTAGAGCCAGGAGGTCAGCATGGGAGACCTGAACTCTGCAAACCAGGTGGGGCATGCTCAACTTCCAACCAACCCAGGAAAATGGTTTCTCTTCCCCTTTGTCAAGCAAGTGAAGAAGAAAAGTCATTCAAGGTCAGAACTGGGAAATCTCAGGGTGCACATGTCCAAAGACAGTGTGAGGGGGTGTGTACATGAAAGAGGCAGAAAGTGGGTGGGGCTCTGTTGTTTGGGTGATACTCACCTTTGCAGATCTGGACAACTCCCATGATGATGATCAGGGCCAGGGCCAGGAGCTTCCCAGCTGTGAAAATGTCTTGAACCCGGGTGGCCCACCGCACACTGGCACAGTTGACCCATGTGAGGAGCACTGAAATGACAGACCCCCAGACATACCCTCAGGGCTATAATGAGGCTGGAGGAGGCCCTCTGAACAGAAGCAGAAATGCTTCTTGCTCCTGACAATGGGACTGTAACAGGCAAGCCAAAATTCCCTCAAGCCCAGCCCCAGTTTCCAGAAACTTTGGCTAGATTAACGGGTTACAAATGGGGATTACCTGCCACAAATTAGAGCTTGGTCAGAGCATGCCCTGCCCAGGGCTGGGAGCCAGAAGTAGCCATGGAAGTGAAGGCACTGGCTTTGAGGAAAAGCAGCATATAACAAGGGTGCAAGTGTGGGCTTTGTTTCCAGGCCATTGTATGTTCAGGGGGAGCCCTGAGCAGCTGGTGGATCCTGAATGTCATCTTCCTCAGCCTGATTTTGGGGCAACAGAGGGTTAGGGGGAATCTTTTTTTTCCCCTGTGGTATAATTTACATAGAGTAAAATTCATTTTTCTAAGTGTACAGTTTGATGAGATCTGACAAATGTATTCAGTTATTTAATCACTTCCACAGTCTTTATATGGAACATTTGCAACACTCCCAAAAGTTTTCTTTCTTGCACGTTGATCTCCTTTGAAGTCAGTCCCTTTCCCTTACCTCTGGCAACCACTAATTTGGTTTCTGTCCCTATGTTTTGCCTTTTCCAAAATGTCACATGAACAGAATCATATAGTATATAGCCTTTTGTGTCTGGTTTCTTTCACTTTACATGATGCTTTTGAGATCCATTCATGTTGCTGTGTATATCAAGTCTGGTCCTTTTATTGCCACATAGTACTCCATTGTATGTATTGGTTTTCTACTCACTGGCTGATGGACATCTGGGTTGCTCCCATTTTGGGGCTATTACGAATAAAGCTGCTATAAACACTCACATAGAACTCTTTAAGTGGACTGTAGATGTCTTTGAGAAGGATTTTCCTTTCTCTTGAGTAGATAACCAGGAGTGAGATTCTGAGTCATAAGGTAAATGTATAACTTTATTTTTTTTTTTAAGATTTTGTTATTTTTAAAAGTAATCTCTAGGGACGCCTGGGTGGCTCAGTCAGTTAAGTGTCTGCGTTCAGCTCAGGTCATGATCCTAGGGTCCTGGGATCAAGTCCCACATTGGGCTCCCTGCTCAGTGGGGAGCCTGCTTTTCCCTCTCCCTTTCCCTTCCCTCCAGCTCTCTCACTCTCTCTCTCAAATAAATAAATAATCTTAAAAATAACAACAACAAAAAAAACCCCACAAAGTGGCTACATCGTTAGCATTTCCACCAGCAATGTAGGCGAGTTCCTGTTGCTATGAATCCTTTCAGCATTTGGTATTGTCAGCTCCAAAAGCTTGGCTATTCTAATAAGTGTGTAGTGGTATCTCACTGTGGTTTCAATTTGCATTTCCCTCGTGACAGATGATGTTGAGCATGTTTTCATGTGCTTATTGGCCACTATCCCTCTGTCTTCTTTGGTGGCATAGGGGCTCCCACAGAGATCCCAATAACATGGAACCTCCAAGGGCTAGAGGAGAGCTCAAAGACTGCATCCTAGGAGGGAGGGACTCCATTTTACAGCCACACTCCCCAAGCAACCCAGGGAGCCTGTGCTGCAGGAATGGGACTCTCACCTTCCTGGTGCTTAGGAAGTCCTTGAGAACAAAGGGAAGAAGTTAAAATCCTCTTGCTTCCCCTTCCTCTGAAACAGTGACCAGGACGCCCCCCCCCCCCCCAGTCCTCCAAAGGTACAAGTCACACATGTAGAAGCACCAGACTTTCTTCTCAAGCTCTGGCCAGGCCTCTGACTTGAACAGTTGATCAAATTATATCAATACCTGATCTTTAAACTGTGTTTTTACTTTTCAAGTATTTTCTGACCTTACTTGATTCTGAGACCATTTCGACAGGGTAAAGACCTGATACTATTATCTATTGGTAACCTTTCTCCTCACACCGTCTCTACCTGGCAAACTCATCTTTCAAGATCCAGCTCAAATGTCACCTGTTCTGAGTCTTTATTATTTTATTATTTCACGTATTCCTGACAGTGTGGCTGCAAGGTAAGATACATCAGCCACATTTTATAGACAAGGAACAAAGTTTGTCCCTTCTCTTTTCTCAGACCGCTTTGTTTATATTTAATTTTGGCATCTACTTCTTTGTATTATAATGATTTGTTTCTTTTTCTCTGTCTCCATGTAGACTAGGAGGGCAGGGACTATGACTTTTCATGCTTTTAATCCCAGGGCATCATTAATGCCTGCAAATAGCAGGTACTCAACAAATATTTAATACTTGGATACAGAAAATGCCCCAATTCATTAGCCCTGCAATCTCATCTCAGTCTACACATTCTACAATGCACACAATCTCCCCTGCTCCCCAGGAATCTCATCAAAAGGAGACACGATCCCCAGTTGGTTGCACAGAGCCAAAAGAGCGACAGGAAACTTGACTTCAAACTCTTGACTCCTCATGGAGAAGCTGTTATCCAAGATGGTGTCATATAAGGAGAACCAAAACATGTTGTCAGAGGAAGGATTTTAAGTCCCTGAACAGGGAGAACATCTTGTAAATACTCGAATGTTCCAGATGGACTGAGACATTCTGATAAACACACATTTGGTTTATCTTACTCAATTCAAAAAGGATTTCAGGATCACATGCCTGGTGGCAATCCAACCCAAATCACTCTAAGCAACAGGGCCTGTGATCTGTTTCTCCTCAGGGCCCTGAGGATTGCTAGGTACAAGGGTGGGCCCTCAGGTCCCAGGAGTTCAGGCAGACACAAGCAATGACTTAAGGATAAAGGAGATTGATTTATGAAAAGAAGATTAGGACACAAAACCCATGAGGCTCAGGGATAGGTAAGGATTACTGAACAAGGAACCAGATTGTGATCCCAGAGAAGAAAATTATCCTCTATCAAGGGGAGGAGAGGGCACGGTGGGGAGGTGACAGGAAAGTACTTGGAGGGAAATAAGGGATGAGCAGGACAACTCACAGACATTCTTCCCCCAGCAGGTGGGGGGAATGTGGCCACCTCCTGGTGGGCTGGAATAGAAAACACAAAATCATCTATCTCCTTAGGAGAGGGACCTTGTCAAGGCAGTCAGAAAGATTCCTTCAGTCAGCTCCAGAATATTCCTGGAGGATGGGAGATATTTGAAGGAAGGGATAATTTGTCAAATAAACTTGCTGTGGGTGTCTTCTGTCCCACCTGACCTTATCTTCACAATTTCACAAGAACCCAGACCTTGACTAATATTTAACCTTTTACCTTTACAGAGCTCTTTCAGAAATAAAAAGAGAAATCCCGAGAATGGGGTGGGGAGACATTTTGCCTGTGACACTAATCTCCTTAGAACAATGGCTGCAGGCCCTCACATCTGACCCTTATCCCTGCTGTTGGGTGATCACAGCATGTGACCGAGGGGAAAGAGGGCATTTTCAGTCTCCTGCTACCACAGGACAGCTTCCCTCACAGCAGGCTGAAACCTGAGCCTCCAAACAGAGAGGAAAGGTCAGTGAGTGAAGGCAACACTGTCAGGTGCTTGCCAAGCCCCTGCCCTGTTCAGGCATCCTGTCTCTGCCAGTCTGCTACCCAGAGCCCGTTTCTGTTGTTAATGGCTATGGCCCCTCTCTCTTCTCAGCCAGACCCTGCATTCTGCATGCTTGAGAAACAATGACCTCAGGGAAGCCACATGTAGATGGGGACTAGTGGCCACTGCAGCTTGAAATGTGAGGGTTTTCGTTCATCCATCCATTCATCCATCCGTCCGTCCAACCAACCATCATCTACAAAGGGCCTACTGTGCTAGGCACTCTGGTAGGTGGGGGAGTTACAAGACACAAGTCCCTATCCTCGGGAAGTTGAGAGCATAAGGTAAGGGAGATGGGTGAGCTAAAAAAAAAGATGATCATGCAACAATGTGGTGACAGCAGAGCTCTTCACGCAAGCCAGTGGGTATCCATGAGGAGCCCCGAACTTAGCCCAGGGGATTCAGAGGTGTGTCCTATAGGAGGGGGAGACCCTAACCAAAAGGAGAATTTTATAATTTTGGCCCAGCTGGATAAAAGAAATAAGAAGGAAAAAGACTCTGGTTCTTGTCCACTGTAATCTGGCTGTGGAGTGGTTGGTTGCTGCTTCTCTAGAGGCCCCCATGGAATCTCGGGCTTATCTGTATTTCTTGGGCATTTTCTCCTCTTTCTCTTTTGTATCCTTTCTGTTTGCTGGGTTTAAAAAAAAAAAAAAGGTGAAAAGACTATCAGGACGATACTTCAAAAAGATGCTGACGTCAGGGGTTGGTTACTGAATCTGGCAAGTTGGAAAAGGTGACAAGGTGACACCTTAATGTCAAGGTGACAGGAGGGATACGAAAAACAGGCAGGCAGGAGTAGGGGACTCAGAACCCAGCAATCTTGTGACCTGCTCAGAGCCCAGGGCCCAGGGCCTCTCAGCTGCTGAATAGGAGAGGTGGGCTCAGTGCTCCCTGCCTGTGGGAAAGCTGAAAGACTGGCAGAGAGGTGCAGAGTCCTCAGATCGGTGACAACGAAGATCCTGTCACTGACCTGGACAGAGGGTCAGAGTTAGAAAAAGAGACATGATGTCGGAAACAACGATCAGAGAGGGAGAAAGAAAAATTTGAAGAAGCCACGCTGCGGGCTTTGAAGATGGAAGAAGGGCCCATGAGGCAAAGAATGTAGAGGGGCTCTAGAAGCTGGAAAAGGCAAGGAAATAACTGTCCCCAGAACCTCTGGAAAGAACACAGCCTTTGCTGTCACCTTGAGTTTAGGACTTCTGATCTCCAGAACCATAAGACACTAAATCTGTGGTAATTTGTTATAGTAGCAATAGGGAATTAATACAGGGCCAGGCACCATACAGAAAGACCAGAAAGCAGGTGGCACAGGCTGAAATAGCAAAATTTTTAAAGAGCAACCGGGCGGCACACCCCAGGACCCCAAAGGAGTGCCTGTCCACAGGCCTTGCAGGACACCAGTGGAGGGAAGT